GAAACCTTACAAATGTGAAGAATGTGACGTTTTCAGTCCCAAGTCACACCTTCAAAGACACGATAAATCATATTAAACAGAGCATAGACATCTGAGATTTGTGACAAGGCTTTCGGGCGTGATTCACACCTGGCGTAACATGCTAGATTCACACTGGAGAGAAAACAAACAGGGGTACTGAGTGCGGCCAAGCCTTTAGTGGACAGTGAGAACTTATTCATCATCAAGCAATCCATGGTATAGGGAAACTTTACTAATGTAAAGATTGTTCCAAAATCTTCAGTAACGCTACAGCCATTGACATTATTGGAGAATCCATAGTGGAAAGGCATCTTACAAGTGTGGTAAATGTGGAGATTTTTTGAACATCGTTGATACCTTTCAGTTTATCGGCCAACTCATGCTGGAGAGAAACCCTACAAATGTCAGGATTGTGGCCAGGTCTTCAGTCATACTTCCCCTTATGCAAAACAGGGGAGAAGTTATACAGGAGAGAAACCTCCGCAGTGTGCTCGTGGTGGCAAGCTTTACTTCACATTCACACGTCATTAGACATCAGAGAATCCATCCTGGACGGAAATCTTACAAATTTTCTAAGTGTGGCATGGTGTTTAGTCTCAGGTCACTCCTTGCAGAACATGAGAAAATTCATTCTGGAAATAATTGTTTAAAATGCATTGAATAAGCAGCCATCAAGTATTAATTGACATTAGAGGCAAACTGGAGTTTGAGTTTACTTAACATTGAGTTCAAGCATTAATTGACATTAAAGTGTTTATGTTAAGATGATTGGGTCAGGGAGGGTGTGGCTCACACCTGTAATCCCAGCACTTTGGGAGGCCAAGATGGGTAGGTCACTTAAGGTCAGGAGTTTTGGACCAGCCTGTCCAAGAGATGTGAATCCCCTTTACCCAGCGTGTTTTTGTTTTGTTTTGTTTCTATTTGACAAAAACTGACAGGGAATTTTATGGGTATTGTGTTGAATCTAATCACATTGGTTTACATAATCATTTCACAACATTTTTCCAATCCGTCAGTATGAATTGTGTGTCTATTTGTTTTTAATCATTTTGATCAATGTTTGTAGATGTCAAGGTAGAAACTTCTCACCTTTTAACCTTTATTTCTAAGTATTTCTTATTTTAAGTTCTCTAGCAAATGGAAATGTTTTCTTAATTTTCTCTTAAAATTGCTTATTGTCGATGTATGGAAATTGAAGGAGGTTTTTGTGCTGCTACTGTATTCTGCAAATACACTTAATGTGTCAATTAGTTCCAGTAGAATTTTCGTTGATTCTGTAATTTTCTACAGAGAAGATCATGTCATCTGCAAACAAATATATTTGTACTTGTTTCTGATTTGGATGAGTTTTACTTCCTTTGCTGTGTAATTGCTCTGCCCAGGACAACAGTATTTATTGAATGGAAGGAGTGAGAGAATTCCTGCATCATGCGATATTCTACAGGAAACGCATTCCATCAATTTTTTGATTGGTTATTTCTGCTGTGGTCATCTCCTTGATGGTCTTTTTCTTTTTTTTTTTTTTTTTTTTTGAGACGGAGTTTTACTCTTGTGACCCAGGCTGGAGTGCAATTCTGCAATCTCCGCTCACTGCAACCTCCGCCTCCTGGGTTCAGGCAATTCTCCTGCCTCAGCCTCCCGAGTAGCTGGGATTACAGGCACACACCACCATGCCCAGCTAATTTTTTGTACTTTTAGTAGAGACAGGGTTTTACCATGTTGACCAGGATGGTCTCGATCTTTTGACCTCATGATCCGCCCACCTCAGCCTCCCAAAGTGCTAGGATTACAGGTGTGAGCCACCGCCCCCAGCCTTCATGGATAATCTTTATGTTATTGAGGGAAATCTTTTTCGCTATCTATTTTGTCTCGGATTTCTATGATGTCTGGATGTTGAATTCTGAGAAATGCTTTTTTCCCATCTGTTGAGTTGATGTGTTTTTCATCTTCCATTCTGTTCAAGTGGTGTATCACATTGATTTGCTTCAATATGTTGAACCATCCTTGCATTCCAGTAATAACTGACACTGGAATATCCACAATCTTTTTTATATTCTCTCAAATACAGGTTTTTAGTACAAGAGGTCTTCAAAAATTTTTTTTTTTTTTAATTTTTTTTTGAGACCGAGTTTCGCTTTTGTTACCCAGGCTGGACTCCAATGGTATGATCTTGGCTCACCGCAACCTCCGCCTCCTGGGTTCAAGCAATTCTCCTGCTTCAGCTTCCCAAGTAGCTGGGACTACAGGCACGCGCCAACATGCCCAGCTAATTTATGTATTTTTAGTAGAGACAGGGTTTCACCATGTTAACCAGGATTGTTTCGATCTCTTGACGTCGTGATCCACCCACCTCAGCCTTCCAAAGTGCTGGGATTATACACGTGAGGCCCGGCGCCCAGCTAGAAATTTATTAAAAAAATGTAATGGCCGGGTGAGGTGGTTCACGTCTGTAATCTCAGCACTTTGAGAGGCTGAGGCAGGCAGGTTATGAGGTCAGCAGATGGAGAACATCCTGGCCAACATGCAGAAGCTCCGTATCTACTCAAAAAAAAAAAAAATATGAGAAAGTTGTGCCTAAATTTCACACTTTAGCACCTAAACTGATATGTTTGTTACAGCATGTCTAAACAGGCTCTACTTTGAGCCCCTCAGAAGGATAAGGCATGAGTTTGAGAAGAGACTCTGTCAAAGCAGTAAATTTGTGCTAAACTTGAAACAAGAAGAAACATCAAATTTACAATGAGAGCAGATGCAGTGGCTCAGGGCTATAATCCCAGCACTTTCAGGGCCCGAGATGTGGGTCACATGAGCCCAGGAATTCAAGGGCAGCCTGGGCGACATGGTGAAATCCCCTTCTCTACAAGAAAGACTAACATTAGCTGGGCATGGTGGCACATGCTGCAGACACAGCTACTGTGGAGTCTGTGGTGGGAGGATGGCTTGAGCCTGGGCAGTCATGGCTGCAGTGAGCTGTGATCATGCCACTGCCTTTCAGTGTGGGTGACGGAGTGAGATCGTGTCTCAAAATAATAATACTTACAGTAAAGACTGGGTAAGGAACAAAATCATTGATGCCGTATGAGAAGTTTATGGCAGAAGTATAAGATGGCAGTATACAGGTTCCAACTTAAGTTAGCTATATCACAAGTTGTATTAGTATTTTTTTGGTGGGGGGCTGGAGTATCTCTCAGTTGCCCAAGCTGAAGTGTCCTGGTGTGATCTCATCTCACTGCATCCTCCCCTTCCTGGACTGAAGCAATTCTTGTACCTGTCTCCCGAGTAGCTGTGGATGTGCCCTCTCTAGGTTTCACTTATAATCTCAGTGCAGTTAATTCAAGTGTGTGATGTAATGTGACGTGTGCATAAACCCATAGATTGATAAGCCCATGGATTCTGTAGAAGACGCATCATTTGAAATAAGTTTTCATTGTATGATGATTGAAATGATGTTGGGTATTTTCCATTGTTCTCAACTGTCACAATAATCACTTAAAAGTAAGAAGGCTTGGGCCAGGCGTCATGGCTCACTCCTTTAATCCCAGCACTTTGGGATTCTAACGTGGGCAGATTACTTGACATCAGAAGTTTGAGACCAGCCTGGCCCACATGGTGAAACATGTCTACTAAAATTTCAGAAATGATCTGGTCGTGGTGGTGGGCACCTGTAATTTCAGCTACTGGAAAGCTGAAGCAAGAGAACCATTTGAACCCGGGAGGCACAGGTTGCAGTGAGCTGAGGTGACACCACTGCACTCCAGCCTGGGTGACAGACTGAGACCCTGCCAAGAAAAAAAAAGCAAGAAGGGTGCTAAAGGGTTGCATGCACGCCTGTGTGAATATTCAGTGAGCTTTTACGATGCTCCATGTTCTCACCGTTAAACTTCTCTCACTTCTCCCCACTAGGTAAACCACTGTCAATGCAGATGTGATGCTGTGACTGGTATTTAGGGGGTTATATTCCAAGCTGAATCCCAGACATCTGGATTCAGGTGCTTGTGTTGACAGCTTTATCTATTTGATTTGTGGCCACTTTCCCGGAGTGTGTGTGAGGCAGTTCTCTCCAAGTCCAGATCTTTCCTTATAGGACAGTCTGTTCATTTATGGCCGAGAACATGGGAAGCCCCTAGAACAGTGGTTAGCACAAGGAGAGTGTTCAAAACTGTCGTTACTACTGCTATGATCATGACAGTTTTTAGATTCTGACTTTGCTTTTTATTTTATTTTTCCAGAAGGTATCTCCCTGTCACTTAGGCTAGAGTGCAGTGTCACGATGTGGGCTCACTGCCACATTTACCTCCCGTGTTCAAGTGATTCTCCTGCCTCAGCCTCCCAGGTAACTGACACCTGACCCAACACCAGGCTAATTTTTTTTGTATTTTCAGTAGAGACGAGGTTTCATCGTCTTAGCCAGGATGGTCTCGATCTGCTGACATAGTAATTGGCCCACCTTGTCCTTCTAAAGTGTTGGGATTCCAGGCATCAGCCACCACACCTGACTTTTTTTTTTTTTTTGAGACGCAGTTATTCTCACCCAGGCTGGAGTGCAATGGCAGAATCTGGGCTCACTGCAACCTCTGCTTCCCAGGTCCAAGAGATTCTCCTGCCTCCGCCTCCCTAGTAGCAGGAATTACAGGCACTTGTCACCATGCCCGGTTAATTTTTGTATATTTAGAATAGATGGGCCATGCTGGTCTTCAACTCCTGATTTCAGTTGTTCCACCCCCATCACCCTCCCAAATTGCTGACAGCTGTGAGATTCTACACTGGACCCTGACTTTCTTTTTCTTTGTTTCTTTTTTTTGTGTGTGTGCGTGAGGCAGAGCTTAACTCTTCTTACCTAGGCTGCAGTGCAATGGCGAGATCTCAACCCACTGCAACCTCTGCCTCCCGCGTTGAAGAGATTCTCCTGCCTCAGCCTCCCGAGTAGCTGGGATTACAGGGGGCTGCCACCACACCTGGCTAACTTTTTGTCGTTTTAGCAGGAGAGACAGGATTTCACCATGTTGGCCAGGCTGGTCTCCAACTGCTGACCCCAAGTGCTGGGATTAGAGGCATGAGCTACTGCGACCGGCCCTGACTTTCTATTCTTTAAAGCCATTGGACTTCGCGGACTCTGGGACAGCACTTGTATTTTACCTCATCTAGAAAATGTATATCGCGTGTTATGTTGAACATAATATCTAACGTATCTATAGAAAGAACGCTCCTCTTAGTTTTTATTTGAGTTTTATTTGTTTTTTGTTTTTTTGGGTTTTTTTTCTGAGATGATTCCCTCTGTCGCCCAGGCTGGAGTTCAGTGACTTAATCTCCGCGTGCCGTGTTCAAGGGATTTTCCTGCCCCAGCCTCCCGAGTAGCTGGGATTACAGGCACGTGACACTAGCTCGCCTAATTTTTTTTCTATAATTAGTAGAGACGGGGTTTCAGCAATTTGGCGAAGCTGTTCTGGAACTCCTGACCTCAGGTGATAGGCCCGCCTCGGCCTCCCAAAGTGCTGGATTACGGGCATGAGCCATCACACCCGGCCAACTAAAATCAATTTCAATAGCAACGAATTTTCCTGGATCCCACGTTGACTTCTCAGGGAGGTCCTATTTCCCAGACGGCTGAGCTGCTCCAGCCTCACTGAGTGGTTTACGTTCCAAAACGGAAAAAAGGCGCCCAGAGCGAGATGGAGGGAAGCTCAGGCCCTGCCCCCTTCCGGCCGCGGACCCCTCACAGCCTCGCCTCCCTCACGCACCACCCCCTCGCTTGACCTTTTCGCCCCGCCCTGGCCTCGCTCAGGCTCCGCCCACCTCTTGCTGTTCCTACCCTGCCGCGGCCACGCCTCCCCGACCTCCTAGAGGTTCCCGCCCGGGTCTGGTTTCTTTCCTTCGCAGATTGGTAGGGACCGGAAGCGGATGGCGTGTCCTGAAGGTCTGACCGCGGCTTGTGAGTTTTGGTCCTTCTTTTCCTCTCTGCACTTCCCAGGCCTCCGGTGCTTCTATACCGGACACGTGGGTTCTCCAGAGACCTGGAAATTCCGTCCCCTCTTAACCCAGAGCAAATTGAGACGTCCAGGTGAGAGTGCGTGAGTCGCTTCCTTTTGAGTTAAAAGTCGCCCTGAGGCAGGTCCCTCCCTGGTCTTTCTTCAGTGGGGCCGTGCAGACAGACACCTCGTACCGCGGAAGTTTCCTGCTCAGACCCTTCCTGTCCCCTCCTCCTGCTTCACACAGTTTCAAGTCCTCAGCCGCGTGCTGGATTCCCGTCCTGGGCGCCTCCCAGCCTCGCTCTCGTCGGTCCCTGGAGCGCATCGCCGCGGTCGCAGTCCCGGGGAGGCGCGTTGTGTACCGAGTCCGGGGAACCTGCAGACCCCACCTCTGTGCCAAAGCCCTGTGGCCTCCCCAAGTCCCTTCTAGTGCTGGGCCCTGCTGCTCCCCAGTTCCAGCCCCTGGAAAACGAGCTCTTCCTGGAGGCAGCCCTCTTATTCCGTCCTCGCTCTGTTTTATCGTAAGGCAGCCTTCGGTGTGAGATGTCCAAGTTCTTGGATAGTGAACATAGACTTGAAAAAAAAAGGGCCAGGCGTGGTGGCTCACACCTGTAATCCAAGCACTTTGGAGGCCAAGGCAGGCGGATCACCTGAGGTCGGCAGTTCAAAACCAGCCTGAACAACATGGTGAAACCATTTCTTTAAAAGAAAAAAAAAAGAAAACCCAAAAAAATTCACCACGAAGTAACAAAAGAAGAAAGCCGAGAAAGCAAAAATTTATTCAATCAAGAAAGCATTCCATAGAATGGGAGTAGTCTCCAGGGAAAGCCTCCAGGGCCCCGTTTACAAAGTTTTAGCGTGTTAAAGTCTTTCTCTTGAAATCCTATGGGCTACCCCTTATCTGGAAGAAAGATTTGGCCCTTGGCCAATGAAAAGCTGAGATGAATTGACCCGAGGCCAGAGCAGATGGGTGCCCTATGCAGAAGGGGTGTCCGGTGCTTGGCCTTTGCTGCTCCTGGGCTCTTTCCTTTTTCACCTGAGACATGTTGGAAGGGGGAGGGCTGTAGGGAGAGTGGCCTTTGATCCTTTGTTACTCCACGTGGGGAGATGGGGCTTTTCCATTTGGTCTGTTTTTGGAAAGGTGAGTTCATTGGCCTTAGATTCCCTCCCCCCAGACCCAGGACCCAGGTGTTTCCCTTTTCTCTTTTTTAATGGAGATGAGTCTCACTCTGTTACCCAGGCTGGAGAGCAGGGACAGGATCACAGCTCAGTGCAGCCTCCACCTCCTGGGTTCAAGGAATCCTCCCACCTCAGCCTCCGGAGTAGCTGCAACCGCAGATGGGCGCCACCACACCGCACTGATTTTTGTGTTTTTGGTAGAGAAGGGCTTTTGCCATGTTGCTCAGGCTAGTCTACAACTCCAGGGCTGAAGTCATCCAGCCTCCAAATATGGTGGGATTACAGGCATGAGCCACCACAGCTGGCCTTTTATTTTCCTCTTTTTTGAGATGGAGTGCCACTGTGTCATACCTCTGTCACAGGCTTGAGTGCAACCTCTGCCTTCTGGGTTCAAGACATTCTCCTTCCTCAGCCTCCTGAGTAGCTAGGACTACAGGCAGCTGCCACCTTGCCCGATTACTTTTTGTATTTTTAGTAGAAAGGAGGTTTCACCATGTTGGTCAGGCTGGTCTCGAACTCCTGACCTCCTGATTCCCCCGGCTTGGATTACAGACACGAGTTACCACACTCAGCCTTTTTTTTTTTCTCTTTTTTTTCCTTTTTTCTTTTTTTTTTTTTGAGATGGAGTGTTATGGGGTATAATCTTGCATCACTGCAACCTCTGCCTGCCAGCCTCAAGTCATCCACCGCAGTCAGGCTCCCATATGGCTGGGACAACAGACATACAGCACCACACCTGGCTAATTTCTTTTCTTTCTTTCTTTGTTTTATTTTAAAGACGGGGTTTCACCGTGTTGGTCAGGCTGGTCTTGAACTCCCGACCTCAGGTGATCCACCCACCTTGGCCTCCAAAGTGCTTGGATTACAGGCGTGAGCCACCACGCCGGGCACTTGGCTAATTTTTTATACTTTCGGTAGAGGCGGGGTTTCACCATGTGGCCCAGTGTGGTATCAGACTCCTGGGCTCAACTCATCTGTTTGCTTGGGCCTCCCAAAGTGCCGGGATTACAGGCGAGAGCCACCTGCAGTTGTCCACAGGAGGATGATCATTGTTTCTGTTTTTCTTTCTTTATTTTTTTGAGGTAGGGTGTCACTCTGTCACCCAGGCTGAAATGCAGTGGCACACTCTGGGATCAGGGCAACCCCTGCCTCCCAGGCTCAAGTGATCTTTTTCAACCTCACAAGTAGCTCTGACATCAGATGTGTGCCTTGACGCCTGGCTAATTTTGTGAATTTTTGGTAGAGAAGGGGTTTCACCATGTTGCCCTGGTTAGTCTCAAATTCTGAGCTCAAGTGCTCTGCCTGCCTCAACTTCCCAAAGTGTTGGGATTATAGGGGAGAGCCACCACACCTAGTTGGTTTTGGAATTTTCTAGAGGAAGACCAAGGCAGCCTATTGGCCCTTCCAGGCCGTCACATGGGAGTCAGCCACACCACCTTCTTACCCTCCTCAGAGCTTCTCAGGATAACTTTGTGACCTGTCTCCCACTGTGAGCTTCAGGGACTTCACCTGTAAAAGGGAGGAAGAACAGGAAAGCTCAGAGTGACACTCACCCCTGAACAGACTGACAAAATACAGTGAGTTGCTTTTTGGTGTATGTTTAGTAGAGACGGGGTTTCATCATGTTTTCCGCGATGGTCTCCATCCACCCTGACCTCGTGATCCACCCACATTGGCCTCTGAATTGTTGGTTTTACCTCGAATTATAAATGGATGCTGGTCCTCCAGAAATGTAAAGGTCAAAAAAATCAGAAGAAGAGCCAAAAATAGGGCATCGGACTCAAATCACCTTGAACCTTATCTCATGGCCTCAACCCACCTACTCGGCTCTGTGTCCCCTGCAGGTCTCTCCCCAGAGAGCTACAGTCCTCCTGTGTCCTGTGTCCTCTGCTCCCTGCGGGGACATCGCACAAGCATCTCCACCTTCACGTGTCCATAAGTGACACCTAAACCCCCAAACACATTCCCTTGTTGTGTGCACATCTCAGATGAGGGTGACTGTGTACTTCCGGGGTCTTTGCGGAACTTGACAGCATATATTTTAAATATGGGAAATCAGTTATATTACTCCTAAGTGTTGTAATTTATAATATAAAGAGAATATTACATGTATATGTGAAAAAGGTGAAAAGCTACGCTTCCAAAATGCTTTTTTTTTTTCTATACAGGTTTTTGCTCCCTCACCTAGGATGAAAAGCAGTACTGCTATGTCAGCTCACTGCCACTTCCACCTCCTGGGTTTACCCAAGTTTCCTACCTGAGCCTCCCAAATAGCTGGTATTACAGGCACGCACCACCACATCCAGCTGATTTTGGATCTTTAGTAGAGATAGGGTTTCACCTTTTTTTTCAGGCTGCTCTCGAACTCCTGGCCTCTGGTGATTCACCCACATTGGCTTCCCAAAGTGCTGTGATTACCAGCTTGAGCCACTGAGACTGGCCTTTTTTTTTCTTCAGACCAAGCTTTGCTGTTGTCACCCAGGCTGGAGTGCAGTAGCACGATCTGGGCTCACTGCAACCTCTGCCTCCCAGATTAAAGTGATTCTCCTGCCTCATCTTCCGGAGTAGCTGTGGTCACATTCAAGTTTCAAAATTCTTTTAGATTGTGAGAGGAAAATGTGTAAAGACCTTGTTCCTATGGACGAATCTGTTTCCCCAGGACCTCCCTGACCTCATCTACCTGTGTCCTCCTCTCCCACTGCTCCAACCACACGGGCGCTGTCCTTTTGCTGGGGTTGAGGTTGCTGCTGTCTCAGGGCCTTGACTTGAGCTGTCCCTCTGACTTGGACTCTGGCCCCTCAGCTGCAAGTGACAAGCAGCCTTTTTTCCCTAAGTCTTTGTTCTGATGTCACCTTTTCTGTGGAAACCTTTGTGATCTCCCACAGCCCCCCACTTGACATTACATCTGTGAACCCACAAAACCTCTGACAGATGTCATTTCATTTAGAAAGTTTCTTCTGCCAAGGTTGAGGATGCACCCGTGACACAGCCTCAGAAAGTCCTGGTGACATGTGTCCAAGCTGGTGGTGGCACCGCTTAATTTTATACATTTTAGGGAGACATGAGACATCAGTCAATATACGGAAGAGGCTCATTGATCTGGTCTGGAAAGGCAAAAAAACTTGAAGCAAAGGCAAAAAGAGTTGAAGCAGGAGGGGGCTTCCAAGTCACAGATAAGTGACACACAAATACCACGTGTCCCAGGTGCTGGTAATCTGTGCAGCACTGAGGGTCAAGTTTCTGTGTCCTCCAGTTCTGAGGGCTGAGCTGAGCCTGTGATGCACTAAGAGGGGAGGGGCTGGGTCTGTGCTCTGAAGGGGAGCTTAGTCCAGCCCAGCTCCCCACTTCGGCCTGGTGTGTGCGGCTTCTCCGGGAGGGGGATCTGAAGACCAGGGCGAAACACACTTGTAGGTCTTCCTGTGGGACTTTCTTACCTCTGCATGATGTCTGTTGCTGTGGGCAGCAGAGGCCCATCTTTCTCCAGAGTGATGTCTGCCCCATGTGTGTGTTTCTGTCACAGTTAGGGAGTGAGTGGTTTCTAACATTAAGTCTCCAATATTTTTCACATGCAGGGTTGATTTTTAAAGACTCATAGTAGGTAAGGAAGCAGCTCAGAAGAGGAAAGAAAAGGAGCCCGGCATGGCTCTTCCTCAGGTAAAGTGACACTCCTCGGTGGGTTCATCTGTCTCTTCCCTTCCTGAAATGCCAGGTATTGTAGTAGCCAGTCTGTTCTGAGTCTGAAGCGTCCTGCCTCACACATTGGCTGGCACTCACCCATGCCTTCCTCAGTTCCTGTCATCTGCTCTGAGATTCCATCTCCTGGGACCCGGTGATATGAACTCAGGAAGAGGCTCCACTGGGCATGGTCATGGGAAGGGCTGACACCTGGACCTGGATGGACACGGGGTGTGGGCCTTGTGGTGTCAGTGCTGCTGCCCAGCCTGGATGGTTCAGGGGCCACATCTGGATGTAAGACCTTTGAGGATGAGATCAGAGAAACTGCGTATGAAACACATGGGTTAATGTGCACTGATGTCTGGTAAACTCTGGAAAAGGAGACCAGTAGGGGGAGCTATTTTGTAGCTGATTTGGTAATGCAGTGGAAGCCACACTGGTAGATCAACACGTCTCTGACTCCAAACTTTATTTTTTCATGTTTTAAGAGACAGGATGTTGGTTACAGTGCGGTGGCTCACACCTGTAGTCTCAGCACTTGGATGGATCACTTGGAATAAGGAGTTCAAAACTAGCCTGGCCAACATGGTGAACCCCCACCTCTACTAAAATACAAAAATTAACAGGGTGTGGTGGCACGTGCCTGTAATAATCTCAGGTACTCAGGAGGCTGAGGCAGGAGAATCACTTGAACGTGGGACATGGAGGTTATAGCAAACGGACATTGTTCCATTACGCTCCTGTCTGGATGACACAGTGAGACTTTCTCTGAAAGAAAATAAAAAGAGAGGGAAGGTGTTGCTCCGTGGCTTAGCTGTGGAGTAGACTGGTACAATTCAAAGTTTACAGCAGCCTCGCCTGCTGGGCTCAAGTGATTCCTACTTTGGCCTCCCAAAGAGCTAGAATACACGGCCAATATTTCTATTTCTGATTTAGTCTCTGTCACCCAAGCCAAAGTGCAGTGGTGCAATCTCATCTCATTTAACCTTCCATGTTTTGGGTTCAAGTGAGATTCTTCTGCCTCAGCCTGCTGAGTAGATGGGACTGTAGGCGTGTGCCACGACATCGGCTTCTTTTTGTATTTTTAATAGAGACCGGGTTTCACCGTGTTGGCCAGGCTCATCTTGAACTCCTGATGTCGTAGTCTGCCTTGGTCTTTCAAGGTGCTGGGATTACATGTGTGAGCCACTGTGCCTGGCCTTGCTTTTTATTTATTTATTTTGCAAGTCAGAGTCTCACTCTGTCACCCAGGGAGGAGTGCAGTGGTGCAATCTCGGCTTAGTTCAGCCACCATGTCCTAAGTTCAAGGGATCCTCCTGCCTCAGCCCCCTTTGCAGCTGGGATTATAGGTGCCTGGCTAATTTTCATACTTTTTGTAGAGACAGGGTTTCACAGTTTTGGCCAGACTGGTCTCCAACTCTTGATCTCAAATGATCTGCCTGCCTTGGCTTCCCAATGTGCTAGGAAGGCAGGCGTGAGCCACGAGGCCTGGACCAACTATTTCTTCTTAGTTGTACATTTTTCCTATATCTATAGAATCAAGACTTCCACAGTAACTTAGGGGATCTTAAAATGCTTAATGAAAAAGTGCAGTAGAGCTTATAATTCTCAGATATTATCAGTAACACACCCAAAAAAGTGCAGTAAAATGCAGCTGTAGAGAAACAATGTTCAGAAATACCGTAAGTAGTTTTGTCAGGACAGTCTTTGATGAAATGGATACTTAATTTCTCTTTTCTCATTTACTGTGAAGGTGGAAACTCACTCCTCCATAATTAGTTGAAATGTGTTTTTCATTTCAGGGACGCTTGACTTTCAAGGATGTGTCTGTAGAATTCTCTTCGGCAGAGTGGAAATGCCTGACCCCTGCGCAGAGGGCTTTATACAGGGACGTGATGTTGGAGAACTACAGGAACCTGGAGTCTGTGGGTGAGGAAAATGTTCCTCCAGACACGAGTAATCCGTCTTTGTTTATCTGGGCTCTTCCTGGTTTGTATTCTCTGTTGTGATTTTGCCCTATACAAAGTCTTTCTTATTTTTCCCGAGATGCACTTTTCCTCTTGTTGCCCAGGCTGGAGTGCAGTGGTGCGATCTTGGCTCACCGCAACCTCAGTCTTTCTGTTCAAGTGATTCTCCTGCCTCAGCCTCCTAAGAAGCTGAGATTATAGGGATGTAATTCCTGGCCTCACCAATGTTTGTATTTTTAGTATACACCGGATTTCACCATGTTGGCCAGGCTGGTCTGGAATTCCTGACATCATAATCTGCCCACCTCAGCCTCCAAAAGGCCTGGGGTTACAGGCATGAGCCTTTGTGCCCTGTCTTGCTCAGTTCTCACAAACACATCTCTACCTACTCAGCGGGGATCGTTCTCACCCCCATAGTGCCCTGCACTGCTGTCCTCTATTTCATACCATTTACTTGTTTTTTCTTGTGTCTACACAATTCTAGAATTTACATGGGGAATTTGTTGAGTATATACCCGAAACTGAAATCAGAGGCCATTTAATTTGAGAGATGTAAAACTGCCTTCACCTCAGGTCACTACTGCTGCTGTTTTGGCTCTTTCATTCTTGTCCCCTGCCCATATTGTAATTTGTGTGTTTCACCTCGGTTTCATATTTGACCATTTTCTAAATTAGTTGCACTTCCCTCCAAGCTCAAACTGTGGTCTATGCTGGTGGGGTCATATTCCCACAGACGAGCCTGCACACAGTTCACTCCTGCATGCCCATTACTTCCTGCCCTCCACCCTTGCCCTTCCTTTCCTGTCCTTGCCTCACATGCTACATTGATTTGGATGTAAAATGCTGCTGCTTTCCAGCCTGTTGATTTGTAAAGCTGAATACCCCAATTTAGCCCTCCCCTCCAATATGATTCTCACTGAGTGAGTCAGGACCTTAAACATTTACTGGATATAATTATACGAGGCTGCTTAAATCAGTGTGTGCAGGGCCTGATGACTCAGCACGTTCTCCATGAGGGAAGGCTCAGCATGGCTGTCAGCAGCACAGCTCAGCCCTTGTATCCCTCTTGATGTATTTCTTTCTTCTCCTTGTATTTTCTATGACTGGGCATTTTCTGTACTGCCTGGGTGAGACTGTTGTGCTTAAGAACATGTTGTGGGATTTTTCAGACCCAGCATCAAGTTTTGATAACAAACGTGTGAATTGGGTCAAGTACATGACTACTGTAAACTGCAGTCCTTGTTTGAGAAGTAATATTTTGCTTCCAGGTTCTTTTTTCTTTTTTGTTTTTGAGATGGAGTTTTGCTATTAGTGCCCAGGCTGCAGTGCAGTGGCACAATCTCTACTCACCGCAATCTCTGCCTCCTGGGTTCTATCAGTTCTCACACCTGAGGCTCCCAAGTAGCTGGGATTTCAGCCATGCACCGCCACACCTGGCTAATTTTCTATTTTTAGTGGACACTTGCTTTCTCCATGTTGTGGACACGCTGGTTTTGAACTCCCAAACTCAGGCAATCCACCCGCCTTGGCTTATCAAAGTGTTGGCATTTCACGTGTGAGCCATCATGCCTGGCTGCCTTCATGTGTTTAAAACAAGTTAATTAGATGTCTTCACATATTGAATGTCTTATAATATAGGCAGGGCTCAGTGGCTCACACCTGGAATCCCAGCACTTTGGGAGGCCGAGATGGGCAGATTACGAGGTCAAGAGATCAAGACCATTTTGGCCAACATGGTGAAACCCCATCTCTACCCAAAATTTAAAAATTATTCGGGTGTGGTAGTACCCACCTGTGGTCCCAGCTATTCGAGAGGCTGAGGTGGAAGAATCGCTTGGACCCAGGAGGCAGAGGTAGCAATGAGCCAAGATTATGCCATTATACTCCAGCCTGGTGACAGAGTAGGACTCCATCTGAAGGAAAACAAAAAAGAGAAAGTTTTATAGTACAAACTCGAAGCCTCCTTTGTTTCCTATGATTTGTCAGCCTTGGATGATGTTGATTATGGGAGCCCGTTTTTCTGTCTCAGTCATTTCACTGTCACGTCAAAAATAGGTTACACTGCCTGGCCTCAGTGGCTCATGTCTTTATTCCCAGCAGTTTGAGAGGTTAAGGTGGGTGGATCGCTGCAGCTCAGGAGTTTGAGTGCAGTCAGGCCAACATGCTGAAACCTTGAATCTACTAAATTCAGAAAAATAAATAGGCGCATTGGCTGACACCTGTAGTTCCAGCACTTTGGTATGCCAAGATGAGCAGATAACCTGAGGTCAGGAGTTTGAGAGTAGCCATGCCAACAGGGTGGAGGCGTATCTCTACTAAAAGTACAAAAATAAACTGGGTGTGGTGGCATGCACTTGTAATCTCAGCTACTTTGGAGGCTGAGGCCAAAGAATTACTGGATCCCAGGAGGTGAAGGTTGTAGTGAGCCAAGATCATGCCACTGCAGTGCAACCTGGACGACAGAGCGAGACACTGACACCCATACACACACATGCACATGCACATGCACATGCACACACACATACATTTAGCCAGGCTGTAGTCCCAGCTATTTAGGCTGCTACGGGAGAATCTTTTCAGGCACGAGAATCAGGCCATTACACTCCAGTTTGGGTGATAGAGCATGACTCAGTCTCAAAAAAAAAAAAATAGCTTAAACTGGGAAGCTTAAGACACAGAGATTTATTTCTTTTGAATTTAGGAAGTGGGAAATCTAAGAGCAAGGTGCAGGCAAATTGGTTTCTGCTGACAGCCTCCTTTGTGATTTAGCCCAAGCATCTTCCTGCTGTGTTTTGTCTTGGTGGAAAGAGGAATAGTCAACAAGCTCTTTACTGTCTCTTTTTATAAAAGCACTAGTCCTGGCCAGGAGCCGTGGAGTTTATATTTTGTGGGTATCTCCTCCAAATGCATAAGGAAGAAGTTTTCATGAACAGGGCAAGGCAATACAGAAGTGTTCCACACAGGGACATTGGCAAGACAGGAAAGTCATCACATTGGAGAGTTTTGCTTCCAGGAGACTGAGGAACATAGTCATAACTTTGAGTTTCAGTGGCAAGAAGCTGAAAGAAATAACCAGGAAGCACCGTGACAACATGTAAAAAGCTGACTGGTAGTACAGACCAATAAGATCAAAGGCATGCCGGAAACAAGCCTGTTAAAGATGAGCTTGGAGTGATCTTTCATTGGCATCTTCTGAAACTCACATATTTCAGACTGAAGGGAATTCTGGTAATCAGGTTGAGAAGTCTGTCGATGATGCTTCCTTAATTTCAACATCCCAAATAATTTCTTGTGTAGCCAAAACCCATATATCTAATAACCATGACAGTAATTTTCTCCAGTCTTCATTATTTACATAAAAATAGGAAGGACGCATGAGAGAAAAATTCCAATGTCATGACACTAAGAAAGCCCTTAATTGTAGCTCATTTTTTTCATTTATTTTTTCTTTATTTTTCCAGCCGCTGGCAACCTCAATTGTAGCTCATTGTTAAAGAAACATCAGATAAACCATTTAGGAAAGAACAAATACAAATGTGATGTGTGTGGCAAGGTCATCAATGAGAAGCGAAATCTTGTACACCATCATAGATGTCACACTGGTGAGAAACCTTACAAGTGTAATGAGTGTGACAAGTCTTTCAGTGACAGGTCATGCCTTCCACACCATCATAGACTTCATACTGGAGAGAAACCTTACAAGTGTAATGAGTGTGGCAAGACCTTCCATCAGGTGTCATTTCTTACTTGCCATCAAAAGCTTTATACTGGAGACAATCCTAACAAGTGTCATGAGTATGGCATGAAATTCCATCAGATGACGTCCCTTACAAAGCATCGTAGAATTCATACTGGAGAGAAACCTTACAAGTGCAGTGAGTGTGGCAAGAGCTTCAGTCGAAATTCATCACTTGTAACTCATAAGGCAGTTCATACTGGAGAGAAACCTTACAAGTGTAATGAATGTGGCAAGGGTTTTCACACAAAAGCACACCTCACATGTCATCTTAGACTTCACACTGCGGAGAAACCTTACAAGTGTCATGAGTGTGTCAAAACCTTCAGTCACATGTCATCCCTTACATGCCACCATAGACTTCATACTGGAGAGAAACCTTACAAGTGTCATGAGTGTGGCAAGACCTTCAGTCAGATGTCATCCTTAACACGCCATCATAGACTTCATACTGGAGAGAAACCTTACAAGTGTAATGAGTGTGGCAAGACCTTCAGTCGAAATTCATCACTTGTAATTCATAAGGTAAATCATACTGGAGAGAAACCTCACAAGTGTAATGAATGTGGCAAAAGTTTTGTTAAAAAGGAACACCTTGTACGTCATCATAGACGTCATACAGGAGAGAAACCTTACAGGTGTAATGAGTGTGGCAAGACCTTCAGTCGAAATTCATCACTTGTAATTCATAAGGTAATTCATACTGGAGAGAAACCTCACAAGTGTAATGAATGTGGCAAGGGTTTTGTTAAAAAGGAACACCTTGTACGTCATCATAGACATCATACAGGAGAGAAAGCTTACAGGTGTAATGAGTGTGGCAAGGCCTTCAGACAGGTGTCATTTCTTACACGCCATTGTAGACTTCATACTGGAGAGAAACCTTACAAGTGTAATGACTGTGGCAAGACCTTCAGTGACAGGTCATCCCTTCAACGACATCATAGACTTCATACAGGAGAGAAACCTTACAAGTGTAATGACTGTGGCAAGACTTTCAGACAGGTGTCATCCTTTACATGCCACCGTAGACTTCATACTGGAGAGAAACCTTACAAGTGTAATGACTGTGGCAAGACCTTCAGACTGGTGTCATCGTTTACATGCCACCGTAGACTTCATACTGGAGAGAAACCTTACAAGTGCAATGAGTGTGGCAAGACCTTCAGTCAGATGTCATCTTTTACACGCCACCATAGACTTCATACTAGAGAGAAACCTTTCAAGTGTAATGAATGTGGCAAGGTTTTTAATTGCAAAGCACAACTCGTACATCATCATAGAATTCATACTGGAGAGAAACCTTACAGGTGTAATGAGTGTGGCAAGACCTTCAGTCACATGTCATCTGTTACACGCCATCGTAGACTTCATACTGGAGAGAAACCTTACACGTGTAATGAGTGTGGCAAGACCTTTCATCAAATGTCATCCCTTACAAGCCACCGTAGACTTCATACTGGAGAGAAACCTTACAAGTGCAATGAGTGTGGCAAGACCTTCAGTCACATGTCATCTTTTACACGCCACCACAGACTTCATACTGGAGAGAAACCTTACAAGTGTAATGAATGTGGCAAGGTTTTTAATTGCAAAGCACACCTCGTACGTCATCATAGACGTCATACTGGAGAGAAACCTTATAGGTGTCATGAGTGTGACAAGAGCTTCATTCAAAAGTCACACCTTACATGCCATCGTAGACTTCATACTGGAGAGAAACCTTACAAGTGTAATGAGTGTGGAAAGACCTTTCATCAAATGTCATCACTTACGTGCCACCGTAGACTTCATACTGAAGAGAAACCTTACAAATGTAAGGTCTGTGATAAGCCTTTCAGAACCTATTCACACCTAGCAAAACACAGTATAATACACACTGGAGAGAAACCTTAGAAGTGTAATGAGTGTGGCAAGACCTTCAGTCAAAATTCATCACTTGTAACTCATAAGGCAGTTCATACTAAAGAGAAACCTTACAAGTGTAATGAATGTGGCATGGGTTTTGATACAAAAGCACGCCTTGTATGTCATAGACTTCATACTGCAGAGAAACCTTACAAGTGTAATGAGTGTGGCAAGGCCTTCAGACAGGTGTCATCCCTTGCGTGCCATCGTAGACTTTATATGGAAGAGAAACCTTACAAGTGTCATGAGTGTGGCAAAACCTTCAGTCACATGTCATCCCTTGTATGCCATCATAGACTTCATACTGGAGAGTGACCTTACAGGTGTAATGAGTGTGGCAAGAAATTTCATCACATGTCATCCCTTACGTAACATTGTAGACTTCATACTAGAGAAACCTTACAAGTGTCATGAGTGTGGCAAGACCTTCAGTCAGATGCCAAATCTAGTATGACATTGCAGACTTCATACTGGAGAAAAACCTTACTAGCATAATGAATGTGGCAAGGTTTTTAACCGACAGGCAACCCTTGCATGTCATCATAGATTTCATTCTGGAGAGAAACCTTACAAATGTGAAAAATGTGACAAAGTTTTCACTCACAGATCACACCTTGAAACACATAAGAAAACTCATAGTGAAGAGAAAGCTTACAGATGTAAGATTTGTGACAAGGCTTTCACGTGTAATGTATACCTGGGAAAACATACTAGAATTCACACTGGAGAGAAACCCCACAAGTGTAATTAGTGCAACAAGTTCTTTGATCAAAATTGATCTCTTAATTCATAAGGCAATTCATACTGGAGAGAAACCTTACAAGTATAATGAGTGTGGCAAGGATTTTAATCAAAAATCAAATCTTGCTCATCATTATAGACTTCGTGCTGGAGAGAAACCTTACAAATGTGAAGAATGTGACGTTTTCAGTCCCAATTCACACCTTGAAAGACAGGGTAAATCATACTAAACAGAAACCATGACGTATGAGATTTGTGACAAGGCTTTTGGGCATGATTCACACCTGGTGTAACATGCTAGATTCTCACTGGAGAGAAAACTTACATAGGTACTGAGTGCGGCCAAGCCTTTAGTGCACAGTGAGCACTTATTCATCATCAAGCAATCCATGGCATAGGGAAACTTTACTAATGTAAAGATTGTTCCAAAGTCTTCAGTAACGCTACAGCCATTGACATTATTGGAGAATCCATAGTGGAAAGGCATCTTACAAGTGTGGTAAATGTGGAGATTTTTTGAACATCGTTGATACCTTTCAGTTTATCGGCCAACTCATGCTGGAGAGAAACCCTACAAAAGTCAGGATTGTGGCCAGGTCTTCAGTCATACTTCCCCTTATGCAAAACATGGGAGAAGTTATACAGGAGAGAAACCTCCCCAGTGTGCTCGTGGTGGCAAGCTTTACTTCACATTCACATGTCATTAGACATCAGAGAATCCATCCTGGATGGAAATCTTACAAATGTCCTAAGTGTGGCATGGTCTTTAGTCTGAGGTCACTCCTTGCAGAACATGAGAAAATTCATTCTGGAGATAATTGTTCAAAATGCATTGAATAAGCAGCCATCGAGCATCGACTTGAGTTTGAGTTGACTTAACATTGAGTTCAAGTATTAATTGACATTAAAGTGTTTATGTTAAGATGATTGGGCCAGGCAGGGTGTGGCTCACACCTGTAATCGCAGCACTTTGGGAGGCCAAGATGGGTAGGTCACTTAAGGTTAGGAGGTTTGGACCAGCCTGTCCAACAGATGTGAGCTTCTTTTTTCCGCCTGTTTTTTTGTTTTGTTTTGTTTTTATTTAACAAAAAGTGACAGGGGGTTTTATGGGTATTGTGTTGAATCTAAATCACATTGGTTTATGTAATCATTTCACAACATTTTTCCAATCAATATGAGTTGTATCTATATATATGTTTTTAATCATTTTGATCAATGTATGTAGATGTCAAGGTAGAAACTTCTCACCTTTTTAGCTTTATTCTTAAGTATTTCTTACTTTATATTCCCTAGCACATGGAAATATTTTTTTAAGTTTCTCTTAAAATTGTTTATTGTAGATGTATGGAAATTGAACTGATTTCTGGTGCTGATACTGTATTCTGCAAATACACTGAAAGTGTGTCTTGGTTTCAGTAGAATTTGGTTGACTGTGATTTTCTACACAGAAGATCATGTCATCTCCAAACAAATATACTTGTACTTGTTTCTGATTTGGATGAATTTTATTTCTTTTGCTTTGTAATTGCTCTGGCTAGGACAACAGCATTTATTGAATAGAAGGGGTGAGAGCATACTTGCATCATGAAATTCTACAGGAAAAGCATTCTGCTTGTTTTGATATGTTATTTCTGCTAAGGTCATTTCATGGATGGTCTTTATATTATTGAGGTAAATTTTCTTCTCTATTTTGTTTAGGTTTTCTTTCTTTTTTCTTTTTTTTTTTTCTAATAGATGGGGTCTCACTATGTTGCCCAGGCTGGAGTGTAGTGGCTGTTCACAGGCGTGATTCCACTACTGATCAGCATGGGAGGTTTGACCTGCTCCATTTGTGACCTGGGCTGGTTCACCCCTCCTTAGCAACTTTGTGGGCCTCCGCTTCCAGGAAGTCACCATATGGTGCCAAACGTAGTGTGGACACCTGATTGGATGCAGTACAGTCCAGAACTCCTGGACTCAAGTGATCCTCCAGCCTCAGCCTCCCAAGTGGCTGGGACTAGAGGCATGGGCCCCTGCTTGTTTAGGATTTCTATCATGACTGAATGTTGAATTTTGTGAAATGTTTCTTTCCCATCTATTCAGATGATGTCTTTTTCATCTTTCTTTCTGTTCAAGTGGTGTATCACATTGATTGGCTTGAATATATTGAACCATTCTTGCATCCCAGAAATAAGTAGCACTTGAATATCTACAGTTTTTTAAATATCCTCTCAAATACAGGTTTTTACTACAAGTGGTCTTCAAGAAGTTTATTTTAACATATGTATTATGAGGAAATTGTGCATGACTTTCACACTTTAGCACCTAAATAACCTGGTACAAACTTGTTATAACATGTCTGAACAGGCTCTATTTTGAGCCCCTCAGAAGGATAAGGCATGAGTTTGAGAAGAGACTCTGTCAAAGCAGTACAATTTGTGCTAAACTTGAAACAGAAAGAAACATCAAATTTACAATGAGAGCAGATGCAGCAGCTCAGGCCTGTAATCCCAGCACTTTCAGAGGCTGAGATGTGGGTCACATGAGCCCAGGTATTCAAGACCAGCCTGGGCAACATGATGAAATCCCCTTCCCTACAAGAAAGACAAACATTAGCTGGGCATGGTGGCTCATGCTGCAGACACAGCTTCTGTGGAGTCTGTGGTGGGCGGATGGCTTGAGTCTGGGAGGTTGAGGCTAAAGTGAGCTGTGATCATGTCACTGCCCTTCAGTGTGGGTGACGGAGCAAGATTCTTTCTCAAAATCATACTTATGGTAAAGATTGGGTGGAGAAATAATGAAATCATTGATGCTGTATGAAAAGTTTATGAGGACAATGGCCAAAGGCAATCAGCCGTGTGGAAAGGACACCTCATTGTGAGTTGGGAGAAGACAATGTTTGAAGTGATGTGTAGGGAGGAGATCCCGTAAGTGCTGAGGCAGGAGCAAAAGGCCTCAGCCTATTTCCATATAAATAATGAAGAAGAAAGTAACCAGAAATATAACCATGGTAGTTACTAGATATTCATAGGTGATATTCTTTTACTAATGCCTCTCAGGTCGGAAGTGCGAACCTGGAGTGACATTGTGAAATGAATGACACTAAGGCAAGATGTTCTAAGCCCTCCGTCGAAAGCGCCCACTGTTTAGCCGGCTAGGGAAGTATATGTCCAGAATAGCTGAGATATCTCCTTCCCTGGAGGAGTTAAGGGAAAACTCTGCTTCTCCAAGCTCTTGTGGTAGCCTGACACTGTCAGGGAGCCCTGCAGACATCCAGGGGCTTAACTGATTCTATGCGATGCTGTGCTTTAGTGGTCACATTCCATGTCTACTCTTATGTCTGCTTCTGCACCTGGTTCCTTTTTTTTTTAGAAAAGGTAATCAGTAATAGTAATCTAAATCTTTTTCTTTTTTTCTTTAAGATGGGGTTTCACCATCTTGGTCAGACTGGTCTTGAACTCCCGAGCTCAGGTGATCCGCCCGCCTTGGCCTCCAAAGTGCTTGGATGCAAAAATCTTAATGTTGTAGTTCTTTCTTGATAGGCATGAAAAACGTGCTGATACATTATGCTCCTTACCTCACTTCGGGTGCCAGAAATTCCTAAGTGCCTACCTGAATGACCCATAATGTACTTGACCCTATCACTGCCATGCCCTATCTACCCTGCCCCGAGTCTTTGACCACCAAGACCACGCCCTACCTACCCTGCCCCCAGATTCACAACTCAATAAAAGTGAGAGTGTCCAGGCCTTCTGGGCCACTGCTGACCTCTGCGATTTGAGCATCAGTAAACCCCTGGGTTCAAACTGTCTTTTCTCTATCTCTGTGTCTCGTTTCTTTTATTTCTACAATTTCTCATCTCCGCACCAGCCCAGAGGGGCTCACAAAACCCTGTAAGGCTGGACCCTACGGTGATTCACAGAGCAGCAGGCAGATCATCTACATCAGTGTTACAAAAAAAAAACCCTCTTGTTCCTGCCACAGTGAAGAGGACTGCCAGCTAACAGCGGAAGCAATAGGAGTTCGAGATCAGCCTGGTTAACATGGAAAACCTCATCTCTATTGAAAATACAAAAATCAGCTGGGCATGGTAGTGGGTGCCTGGAATCCCAGCTACTCAGGAAGCTGAAGCAGGAGAATCACTTAAACCCTGAGGAGGACTTTGCAACTAGCCCAGATGACGCCATTGCATTTTATTCTGGGCAACCAGAGCAAAACTCCTTCGGGGGGGTGAAAAAGATGGGAAGCCTCTTCTCTTTTTTCCTCCAGGATCATGGTGGAAAAAATCTTGACTTCGCTTCTTGCCATGTCTTCTTATGAGACCTTTACGATTAAGCAATTTCTCGCCAACAAACAAAAGGAAAATCGTCCCATTTCTCAGTGGATTCAGATAAAAACTGGTAATAACATCAGGTACAAGCCCAAAAAAAGACACTGGAGAAGAACCACGCTGGGTCTATAAGGAATTGCACATGGGATGCTACACGTATTTCTGCTACCTGAAGGTCACAAACCTATTACCATATGAAGCTGAAAATGTCACTATCTGGAGAGTTGGACATTTTTATTCAGAATATATTTTCTGTCTGAATCTGTTATAAATGCGTTGATTGGCTGGGTTCACTAATATGTATGATGTTTTTATTATTTTATTTTATTTATTAAGATGAAGTTTCACCATGTTGGCCAGGCTGATCTCAAACTCCTGCCTTCAGGTGATCCACTCGCCTCAGCCTCCCAGAGCACTGGCATTACAAGCGTGAACCACTCACTGCACTTGGAAGACTTTTCATTTCAAAAAAAGAAGTCAAACGATGTAATTCCACAGAGCACCTTAATGTCTGTTTTGCTTTGTTTTCTTTTTTTTGAGATGGAAACTGCACTGGGTTGAGTGTATCACACCTGTGGTCCTTACACTTTGGGAGGCTGGGGTGGGAGGATTGTTGAGACCAGGAGTTGCCTAGGAATCTTCTAGTCTTTCCTATCCTGGTTTATGACAGAACCTTGGACTTCACTGTTAAGTGTGGGTAACGCCCCTTCTGGGAACCAAGCACAGACAGCTAAGCAGGCCCCTGGCACAATTAGTGCCTGAAGACTATCTTAGCTTATAGTGTTGCTGCTCGGCCACTTCCTTTTGTATAATTCTGTGTGTATACTCATATACTAGTTTATAGTCGGGACAATGAGAGGCTGAAGAATATCTTATTACTCAGTTAATTATATATACATATAGTTTATATTTGGAGAAATGTCTAGAGCAGACAAGGTGCAGAGCATGAATTAAGGGAAAAACAGCTATATATATATGCATATCTTGCTTATACTCGGAGAAATGTCTAGAGCAGACAAGGTGCAGAGCATGAATTAAGGGAAAAACAGCTATATATATATATATGCATATCTTGCTTATACTCGGAGAAATGTCTAGAGCAGACAAGGTACAGAGCATGAATTAAGGGAAAAACAGCTATATATATATATATATATATATATGCATATCTTGCTTATACTCGGAGAAATGTCTAGAGCAGACAAGGTGCAGAGCATGAATTAAGGGAAAAACAGCTATATATATATATATATATATATATATATATATGCATATCTTGCTTATACTCGGAGAAATGTCTAGAGCAGACAAGGTGCAGAGCATGAATTAAGGGAAAAACAGCTATATATATGTGCATATCTTGCTTATACTCAGAGAAATGTCTAGAGCAGACAAGGTGCAGAGCATGAATTAAGGGAAAAACAGCTATATATATATATATATATATGCATATCTTGCTTATACTCGGAGAAATGTCTAGAGCAGACAAGGTGCAGAGCATGAATTAAGGGAAAAACAGCTATATATATGTGCATATCTTGCTTATAATCAGAGAAATGTCTAGAGCAGACAAGGTGCAGAGCATGAATTAAGGGAAAAACAGCTATATATATATATATATATATATATATACATATCTTGCTTATACTCGGAGAAATGTCTAGAGCAGACAAGGTGCAGAGCATGAATTAAGGGAAAAACAGCTATATATATATATATATATATGCATATCTTGCTTATACTCAGAGAAATGTCTAGAGCAGACAAGGTGCAGAGCATGAATTAAGGGAAAAACAGCTATATATATGTGCATATCTTGCTTATACTCAGAGAAATGTCTAGAGCAGACAAGGTGCAGAGCATGAATTAAGGGAAAAACAGCTATATATATGTGCATATCTTGCTTATACTCGGAGAAATGTCTAGAGCAGACAAGGTGCAGAGCATGAATTAAGGGAAAAACAGCTATATATATATGCATATCTTGCTTATACTCAGAGAAATGTCTAGAGCAGACAAGGTGCAGAGCATGAATTAAGGGAAAAAACAGATATATATATATATATATATATGCATATCTTGCTTATACTCGGAGAAATGTCTAGAGCAGACAAGGTGCAGAGCATGAATTAAGGGAAAAATAGCTATATATATATATATATATATGCATATCTTGCTTATACT